TTAAAGATCGGATTGAGCAAAGTCAAAGGAGGTACATCTTTAGGGCGATCAACTCGATCGCAAATGATGCGACTATCTCGCACGAAAAACGACGACCAGACATGGCGTTTTGCAAACGAAGTTGGGGCTTCAAGATCATGGGCTTCAAGATCATCTGGCAACGATCTCACTCGCTTCCTTGATGGAGTGATAGATTCTCCAAATTCCACCACCAACACATTCACAGGGCCATTTCCAGCTGCTCTCTCATTACCATCAACTTCCTTCACTACTTGCGCATCAGACAGCCCAATACGGTGAAGTTTTGCTTGAATTGCACCGAGATGTTTTAAGCCACTGAAATCACTCATGTTCTTAGCCTCCTTTTCAGTCAGCCAAGTGTCGCCTTTCTTAGCGAGATATAGCTTCATTTCGCGCACATCACATCTGAGGTCCGGTTTCGCCACCTTTATCGCGTACTTAAGATCCTCTACCGATTGAAGCGCATCGATAGTCAAGGAGAATGCACTCCTTTCCTTTCCAACCAACACACAAAAGAGCTTCACCATTTCAGTAAAAAATCACTTTGTCTAAACATTTCGTTGAGGAACCTTGTCATGGCACATCATCCTTGTCCCAAGGCTCAATAAAACGCTAATAGGACGATTTTGAATGCAGTTGCGATCACAATCCATCCAGATAATTTGACTCACATCTCGGCTCGAGAAATAGATTAGATTAGTTTGGCCGTTAGATTCTACAGTCGAACCGGTCTTGTGATTCATTTCGACAACTTCTGTGGCTTTGTGATACATCTACCCTGTACTAACCACCAGATTTCATGCGTGCTGATTGATGCTTTACTGATCAAAATAACTTGCCGATGCTATCATACTGCTTTACCGAATCCGTTGATATATTGCTTTGATTGACATAGACCTCTTTTCATAACTCCATTTCGAAAGCATATAATTGGCATAATTTTTCGGCATCGAGTTTGTAGGTGGGTGTTGTGGTAAAATTGAAATAACTGATGAAGACGTGATTTTTGCAGCAGAAGTCGCAAATGCAATGCAACAATATTTTCCATTTGAAGCACAACGAGCGCATGAATTCCGTGGACTCCTGGATTCGTATCTTGATATTCCTATTTCTTGTCTGGTTGATGAAAAATGTCAAAACTACGGTTCAATTATATCCAAAAAAAGAAAATTGCTGTGCATGAACTTAGACGTCAAGGTGGAACGTGGGAAAGGCAACATTGGAATGCGAAGTATTGGTTTCTACATTCACCAGACGGCATTTAAACAATATTCAGAAAAATATGAAATTCCAGCATTGCTCGTAGAATTGGAAGGACCGTGGTTGGGAGTATCGGCCGTTCTGAACATTAACGGATCAATTATTCATGAGACTTTGTCGCCTCAACTTCCATTTGGTGCATCAAACCATTTAGCACAAACAGCGATATTGTGTCTGGCGTCGTTAAAACGTGCTGTCCTCGCTTTGTTTCATTTCTACAATCAAGATGAACTCAGCAAGATTCCTGCTACTTGTCTTCCGTTTGGTTGCACGCGCAAATATGTGAATATCAAAAGAAACGTGTATTCAAATAGCCTTGGAAAAATCGTCAAGATTGTAGAAGGACGTTATGGGGACACCGTGCATCGCTTCTGCGCAGCTAGAGGAAATGCACCGC